TTCTTATTCTGTCTGTAGGGCTTTCTTATTCTGTTTGTCGGTACTTTCTACTAACAATTATCATGGCAATTTAGATAAATTATGTATCTGTAATGTTGTTATTTATTCTATCCATGCCAGCATATTAGATGACTCCACATTTTTCTTTGACAGTTTTGACCTGCACTGATTACAACTAACGAGCACGTGTGTGCTAAGTGTGAATGCTTCCATGTGTGTGTGCGCTAAGTGTGAATACTTCCATGTGTGTGTGTGCTAAGTGTGAATAATTCCATGTGTGTGTGTGTGTGCTAAGTGTGAATACTTCCATGTGTGTGTGTGTGCTAAGTGTGAATGCTTCCATGTGTGTGTGTGCTAAGTGTGAATACTTCCTTGTGTGTGTGTGTGTGCTAAGTGTGAATGCTTCCATGTGTGTGTGTGCTAAGTGTGAATACTTCCATGTGTGTGTGTGTGTGTGTTAAGTGTGAATGCTTCCATTTGTGTGTGTGCTAAGTGTGAATGCTTCCATGTGTGTGTGTGCTAAGTGTGAATACTTCCATGTGTGTGTGTGTGTGCTAAGTGTGAATACTTCCATGTGTGTGTGTGCTAAGTGTGAATGCTTCCATGTGTGTGTGTGTGTGCTAAGTGTGAATACTTCCATGTGTGTGTGTTCTAAGTGTGAATGCTTCCATGTGTGTGTGTGCTAAGTGTGAATGCTTCCATGTGTGTGTGTGCTAAGTGTGAATACTTCCATGTGTGTGTGTGCTAAGTGTGAATGCTCCCATGTGTGTGTGCTAAGTGTGAATAATTCCATGTGTATGTTTGTGTGTGCTAAGTGTGAATGCTTCCATGTGTGTGTGCTAAGTGTGAATACTTCCATGTGTGTGTGTGTGTGCTAAGTGTGAATGCTTCCATGTTTGTGTGCTAAGAGTGAATGCTTCCATGTGTGTGTGCTAAGTGTGAATGCTTCCATGTGTGTGTGTGCTAAGTGTGAATGATTCCATGTGTGTGTAAGCTAAGTGTGAATAATTCCATGTGTGTGTGTGTGTGCTAAGTGTGAATACTTCCATGTGTGTGTGTGTGCTAAGTGTGAATGCTTCCATGTGTGTGTGTGCTAAGTGTGAATACTTCCATGTGTGTGTGTGTGTGTGTGCTAAGTGTGAATGCTTCCAAAGTGTGAATGCTTCCATGTGTGTGTGCTAAGTGTGAATGCTTCCATGTTGGTGTGCTAAGTGTGAATGCTTCCATGTGTGTGTGTGTGTGTGCTAAGTGTGAATACTTCCATGTGTGTGTGTGCGAAGTGTGAATACTTCCATGTGTGTGTTTGTGTGTGCTAAGTGTGAATACTTCCATGTGTTTGTGTGTGTGCTAAGTGTGAATACTTCCATGTGTGTGTGTGCTAAGTGTGAATACTTCCATGTGTGTGTGTGCTAAGTGTGAATACGTCCATGTGTGTATGTGCTAAGTGTGAATGCTTCCATGTGTGTGCTATGTGTCAATACAGTGGAACCCCACTATAACGCGCCCCGCCATAACGCGAATTTGGATATAACGTGGTCGTAGCATGGCTCCCGGTTTTTTAAATTCATTTACTCCATCAGTCCTTAGTTCTTTGAAAATTTTATCCATTGCTAGGAAAGCCATTTTTTAAAGCGAAAAAAATCACAACTTTTCAAATTATTGTAGAAAATGAACTCCTAAACGCATCACGTTCAAACTAGTATCAAAATTAATGCCGAAAACGAGGCTTTCTTTTGATAGAACTACAAATAGCAATACGTAGGGGATTTCCGCTGTGCTGAGAACAAAAGAAAACAACAAGTAGAAGAGAAAAATGGTTTCATTAGGTTTTTGAATTGTTAAGCCAAAGTAAACATTATCGGAAGTGTTACTTATTACGGATCCAGTAAATCGTCTTTGTAATTGTCTTCCATGAATTATATATTGCTTATATAAAAAAATATTTTACTGTTATGGAAAAGCAAGTTCAAAAACTCAAGTCGTTTTCTGCTGAAGAGAAACTGTGTGCCCTATATCAACCGAGAAGGGCACACAACAAATTCAGCTTGTCAGAGATCTAGAAATCAGCGAGTCCACTTTGCGAGGGTGGAAAACAGATGAAGGAAAGCTCCGCAGTCTACCCAACATTCTTGAAGAGGAAACTGGTTTACAGCGTAAAAGGGTTAAGTTAGCCAATGACAATGTCCTAGATTCAGCTTTGTACCAATGGTTTGTACAAGCTCGCTCAGAAGGTGTTCCAATTTCTGGCCCAATTCTGAAAGCCCAAGCAGAGAAATTTGATCGCCGTATCAATGGAGATGATTCCAATTTTAAGGCGAGTAATGGCTGGCTACACAGATTCTAGAAAAGGCACGCTATCAGCCAAGTTCTTGTGTCTGGGGAAACAGCTCCGCTGACAAAGAGGCTGCCAATTCCTACCCGTTTGGGCTTAAAAAGTTGCTGGAGGACGGTTGCTACACAGCCGACCAAGTTTACAACTGCGATGAGACTGGTTTATGTTATAAAATGTTACCCGATCGCACCCTTGCAACCAAGACTGACAATCACAAACGAGAATGTTTCAAGAAGAGGAAAGACAGAGTGACTCTCTTATTTTGTGTTAACAAGTCTGGCAGCCACAAAGTCAGACCTCTGATTATTGGAAAATCTAGAGCCCCCAGATGTTTTCATCATGTAAATAAGAAGGCACTTCCGTTTCAGTACACTAACAGCAATAATGCTTGGATGAATAGCTCCATATTTGACGACTGGCTTCACAAAACATTCGTTCCAGATGTTCGGGCTCATTTACGAAAACTCAAGCTGGAGGAAAAAGCTCTCCTCCTGCTGGATAAATGCCCTGCCCACCGCCCAGCGCAAAATCTTGTCAGCAGTGATGGCAAGATCAAAGTTTCGTACCTCCCGAAAAACACTACGTCAGAAATCCAGCCACTTTGACCAAGGCATAATTTCCGTATTTAAAGAAAATTATCGCCGTGAAATGATTAAGAGAATGGAAGCAGATAATAATGCATCCGTCGACACATCATTGGCAGTACTCAACTTAAAAGAAGTATGTCACCTTGGAGGTAAAGCCTGGGATACTATCACTGCACGCTGCATTGAACGATGTTGGATAAAGGGTCTTGGGCCATCTTTTACGCCCTCGACACAAAATGATAGTGACGATGAACTTGAACTTACAGGATTCACGGAAGACGACGTACGTTTAGCAGAAGAAGCACTCAAAAAATACGAGCCCAGTCATCATGATATCCTTTACTGGCATTCAGTAGATGACATCTGCCCCATATACGAACACATCTCAGATGACGAAATTGTTACAAATGTCAGCAGGAAGAATGAAGCTGCACAATCATAACCTGAAACCAGTGACGATAATGATAAGGATGACGATGGCACACCAACTCCTCCACCAAAAGTGTCTGAAGCAGTAGTACATTTAGAAGCAAGTTTAAGGTGGCTGGAAACACAAGATGTTGACAACGTCAGAGTCCTTCAATTAAGGGACATTCTTGATTTTGCTAGAACCCAACAGTTCGCGGCAAAGAAGCAAACAACAGTGGATGTTTTTTTCAAGAAATGATGAAATTTAAATTTGGAACCACACTGACTTTGCACTCTGCGCAACGATTAATTTAGTAGTTTTCACATGTTTCTTTTGATGTTTACAAAATCTAAAATAAAAGTTATTTGCACGCTGAAATCATGCGTTGATTGTTAATTATTCTTGCAGTTTTTGCATATGATAAAATTTCAGCGGTATGAAATTTGTACAGACACAGTATGTAGACCAGGAAATACATGTAGCTGCGTGCAATGACCATACGATATCAGACGGCAAGTACACTGTAGCTGCATGCAATGACCGTACGCTATCAGACGGCAAGTAAATGGTTTCAATATTTTGTTCATCCTATATTTTACACGACGAATTCAGACTATTACAAAATTATTGAATATTTTAAATCTGTACGATTTTCCATGAAATAACATCCATTGTGGATGAACTGCATGCCACGATGGCACGGTAGCATACGGTGTTGATACACTTTTCATGATACAGTGATAGTCTGGTATCATCGGCCAATCTGTATTATCGTTCAAACAAATAAAAATTGGTAAATGTTTTTAATGCACAGTAATAACCTATAAATATATTAGCCATCGATTATTTTGAATATATCTGAATTAATGCATTCCAGTTAATATTCATCTGATGGTAAGCCGACTTTTGATCATTGTACATGTACACATGGATATGTTCTCTTCATCTGATGGTAAGCCGACTTTTGATCATTGTACATGTACACACGGAGATGTTCTCTTCATCTGATGGTAAGCCGACTTTTGATCATTGTACATGTACACACGGATATGTTCTCTTCATCTGATGGTAAGCCGACTTTTGATCATTGTACATGTACACACGGATATGTTCTCTTCATCTGATGATAAGCCGACTTTTGATCATTGTACATGTACACACGGATATGTTCTCTTCATCTGATAAGCCGACTTTTGATCATTGTACATGTACACACGGATATGTTCTCTTCATCTGATGATGAGCTGACTTTTGATCATTGTATATGTACACACGGATATGTTCTCTTCATCTGATGATAAGCCGACTTTTGATCATTGTACATGTACACACGGATATGTTCTCGGGAAAAAGTTAAATATTGTAAAACCGTGCATTAACCCAACCCCGCTTTTAACGCGATCCGATTTTATGGACCCCGATCATCGCGTTATAGCGGGGTTCCACTGTACTTCCATGTGTGTGCTAAGTGTGAATACTTCGATGTGTGTGTGTGTGTGTTTGGGACTATGTGCCACCCTCTCAGATGGACACTAGAAAGCAGTAGAAATAGAAACTTTTGAAAAAAAAAATGTTACAGAGTTACATGTTTGAATTGTGTTAGATGCAGTCAGTAAGTATCATGTGCTATGTTAGACCATAATTCAAAGCTCACAAGACCAACACAGTTTTTGTGTATATATTCACAGCCTTCAAGTGAAAGTTTATTAAGTATTCAACAATGAGTTAATCCACATAATTCTACAAAAAAAAATGATTCATTTTCACGTTTTTTTAACAACATAAAGAGTAGATTGAAACCCTAACATATAATAAATTGAAACCCTAATATATAATGTATTGAAACCTAGCATATAATGGATTGAAACTCTAGCATATAATGGATTGAAACTCTAGCATATAATGGATTGAAACCCTAGCATATAATAGATTGAAACCCTAGTATATAATATAGCAGGTCATTAAGTTTAGAATTCAAATTACCATGGAAACTGAAAACAGCGTCTCCAAGTATATAACAGTTTATGAAAAAAAGAAAATAAATTGTTTTAACTTTAAATAATCTTAGTGTTTGAGTAGCTTCCCTTGTAACAGAATTCAGTTCTACTGAGATCAGGTTATTAACTCATGAACACCCAGCTTAACAAGAAATTGTTGCTATGACAACAGGAGCAAACAACAAACTTTAGATTATAATTTGTACCAGGCAGCCCTTGGCATTCAAATTTGCCTGATAGAATTCTGTTAATATTACCTTGAAAGTGCTATGGTAGGATTTGATATGTCCACATTATGCTGAGATAACAGTGCTATGTCATAAAAATTCTTACTTGTGCCTAAATAAAAAAAAATTACACGATATAATTGCAATTCTAACCCCTTGACTGCCAGATAATTGCCCCAAAAATATTTTATGGTGAATTCAAGCAGGGAAGGCAGTTTGCAGGAAAGACAAAAGAAACACTTTAAAGCATACCCGGAACTTGAAAGTTTGACACTGACCAGGGCATGTGGGAACAGTCCTCAGAAAAATCGAGACTCATGTCGCTCACCCTTACAGAAGGGCTCAATGCAACAGGAGGCTAACAGAACACCTGCTGCAGAACATGAGACAAGCCAGAAAAACCAGAGTTAGCTCAGTACCTGGGGTTACCCGACCCATCCGCTGCACCTTCTGCACCAGTACTTTCCTGCCAGATCTGTGAAACCATGAGATAAAGATAAGTTGACCAGGATGCAGTAGTTGACCAGCAGTGTGTCTTGTGTCTCACTGTGCTCTTTATACATTCCCCATCGTTAACCCATCAACTACCCAAGACAACATTTCAGAGACTGTGTAATCAACATTGCTCTTTTCATTGGAGGTGGTTTCAGACCGTCTCATTATTTAACAAATTGAATAAATGTAGACAGCCGGGTTAGTTGTTAACTGACAGTGAATCAATTATTTGATTAAGCAAATAAAAATAACATGCTTATGTGATGGAAAAATTACATTTGATGTCAATGACTAATTGCAATTAATGAAAATATTCACCTGTATTCACAATGACATTTGATTTTACTCTTTGAATCTCTTTATCTTATAACATGAGGGTGGGCGAACTGCAGGCCACACATGCCCCGCCAAGATGTTACATGTGTCCCACAATTCATTCTGGGAACTATATTAATGTTTTTTTTGACAATTTAGAAACCTTGAGAATTTATAATTGCAGTGCAAAATTGTCAACCTGTAATGTTAATAATCACAGGAATTTAATAATTATTAGACTGCTTATTTGCAATCTGAACTAGGAGTGATTTGTCGAAGCCAATCTTCAATAATGTATATTAAAATATATGGACATGTGTGCTGTAAATATTTTTAAATTTTGTTATTGTATTGACTATGACAAAAGATTTTGAGTAAATCATATTTAGAAAATAATCTGACATAAAATGAGTGCACCAAAGTACAAGAATCTAAACAATTAGAAGAAGAGTGTCAGACCTTCAACAAAGTATTGATCTTCATTTTCAGCACATAAATAAATACATTTTACCCCAGACAACATGTTACAATTATAAAAATGTAAACACAAGACATCTACCTTATTTCTCAAGTGTAGAAATCAACCATCAATTACTCATTTAGTGACAATGATAACTTAATTGATGATCATTTTTTGTTTCAAAATTATTTTTTTGGCATGAACTCACAGCCATTTTATTTTTTATTTGTTAACAATCAGTTCAATGTTTTGCCTAGAACTCAGGATTCCTGGAAAATTATCATGCAGCCCAAGATAAATTTTTTTTATTCCATGCGGCCCTCTTTGCTAAAACGTTTGCCCATCCCTGTTACAACAAAAACTCCACTAGTCTAAAAATAAGATTCATTTGTCTAAAATAATCGAATGGTCCATACTTTGTTGAATGGTCTAAAAATAATAGAAGGTTTATTTGTCTAAAATAATAGAATGGTCCATACTTTGTTGAATGGTCTAAAAATAATAGAAGATTTATCTGTCTAAAATAATAGAATCGTCCATACTTTGTTGAATGGTCTAAAAATAATAGAAGATTTATTTGTCTAAAATAATAGAATGGTCCATACTTTGTTGAATGATCTAAAAGTATACAACTGGTTTGAAGTCAAAAATATATTTTACACTTTGCAAATTTCTTCAACTTTAACATTAATCAAATAAAAGGCTGTGCTATTATTGTTACATCAGAGTTTTTGGTGCAATTATTTAAAAGAAAAACAAAACAAAGTCCTTTCGTAAGTTTTCTTTTCCTAAAGTGAATGGGTTTATAAATACACAGTTGTTCTGTGTGCTCCCATTTACAATCACAACATTTTAAGGGTCAATGTTACATGAATAATAAGTACAGTATTAATTAAACATCCCATTTTCAATGAGCGAGAATTAAGATAACAAAAATAATATACCGGTACAATTTTGTTCTTGATATGTCAGTATAATGATCCCATGATGAGATAAAGATAATTAACATCTATACATAGAGTGCATCAACAATTAAAAGGAGAAGATCCATAGAATATGAACATAAATGTATAAAATAGTAAATATACAAGGGAACACTCAAATGGACCATAAAAAAACTGTTCCATTTGTCTTAAAAAAAACCTTTGGTGGTTGCATGTTTTACAGTAAATTTTACTAATAAAGCTGTCAAAAATACAGCCACTAGATTTGAAGACAATAATTGTTTTTGTAAAAAAGAAAACGATATAAAAAAATTTAAAAACCCACATTAAATTGTATGGTGAAAATATTCTGACCAGTTCCAATGCTCTAAAATTTATGAATTACAACTTTGACAACTTTAAAAAACATACTAAAATACATTTATAGTTGAAAATGAGGTTGACACAAACTAAGACATATTCGTGTTGACATATTTTTCTTCACTATTTTAATGGACATTCTACATAACTAGGAAGGTCAAAGGTAAAAGTAAAAGTGATACATGGAACAGCGTTGCTATATAATGGTGGTGTAACAGTAAAACAGAAAATAAAATGTTTCAACTTACACATTGCATGAAGCTTGGCTCAATAAATCACAAAATTTAGTGTAACTTGAATCACATTTCGAAACAATTCTTATAAAATAAAAAATAAAAAACAGGCAATGCAATCATAAAAATCCTATTTTTACCTGTTACAAATTGATCCACAAACAGGTTAAATGTTGGTTTTTAAAAAGACAGCAATCCTTCCACAACCTGATCTTTTAACTTAGTTCAATACAGTTTTAAAGAGGGTATTGTAACAGAGGTTATCAAACTGTGATGCGATGCCCTGGGTTAGCCAAAGCTTCCTCACTGGGTCACAAGTGTTTTAAAAAAATCATAAACACCATCTCGCAGTACACTGGTTGGAATTGTTCAGGGTGCACTGGAAAAACCTGGATGCAGCGAGGGTACAATAACTCAAGAACATTTGGGAACCTCTGTATTATTAGTTTTCTAAAACGAATTATTCTTTCCTCACTTTGTGTATATATTGTACATTCCAATTATTTAGCACTGTTACATCAATAATGGATTTGTTTATAGGTTCTTTTCTCTAAGGTATATTGTTAATGGATACAAGCGATATGTATTTGATAAATGATTGAGAGATAGTTGAATGTTGTTTGAGAGATAAAAAAACCAAACTCTGCTGTGTTGTCACAATGGTCCCACAAGTAGGTCACAGGCGGCTGAATCTTGCAATCTGTTGACGACAGTTGGGACATGTGTGGATGACATCCTTGCAACCGTCAACACAGAATGGTATGAAGCAACAACCAAGTCCACATCTGTAATAAATACCCAAATATCTGTTAGCATGCTTACATTAACCCGAATGAATCAAATATCTGTTAGCATGTTTACATTTATTTGAATGAACCAAATATCTGTTAGCATGTTTACATTTATCTGAATGAACCAAATATCTGTTAGCATGTTTGCATTCATCTGAATGAATCAAATATCTGTCAGCATGTTTACATTTATCTGAATGAACAAAATGTCTGTTAGCATTTTTGCATTCATCTGAATGAACCAAATATCTGTTAGCATGTTTGCATTCATCTGAATTAATAACTCTTACAAAGATAAACAATATCATTTATGGTCAACTTAAGCAGGTCAGAAAAAAAGCTTCTACATAAACTGGACACGTGAGAACAACCTGCAAATGATCTAGCCTCTTGGCGCCCCTTGCTCTACAAAGACAGCTGCAGCTGATCACACAAGACAATCCAGAAAAGTCACTACCAAACCTGGAGATGACCCATCTATCACTGGGTCACTACCGCGCCTGTAGATGATCCATTTATCCCTGGGTCACTACCAAACCTGGAGATGACCCATCTACCCCTTGTACCCACTGCACAATAAGATTTCAAGCCAGAATATGTCTTATCCCTCCCCCCCCCCCATTTGCAGACATACAAAATCAGCACTAGCAACAATCAGATGATTGAAATGGACCCGTCAAGTTGACAGATGAATTACCATTTCTGATTTACCCAGCATGCTTATTTCACCTAAGTGACCCTCTTCCTATGAAATAGCTTCTGCTGCAACTTTGCCAGTTCAGTTTGAGGGTAGACAATTCTTATAAATCAGCTTCTTCCAACATGGACTGAATTGAAAGCCAATGAATTCATGGGAGAAAGATGAAAACAAAGATGTCAACCTTGTCAGACCAATCTTGAAATATCTCACCCCCAATCCAGAGATTTATAAAAATGACCAAACTCTAGCACAAAATCCCACGTAACCCTGACATATTCATGAAATGAATGTTATATTTTATTTGACCTTGATCAGAGCAGAAACAAAACAAACATGTACGGACCGTTGTACGATTTTGAGAATTTGATCTGTTTTAAGATTTGGCTTGTTAAATGAACAACATGTAACAAAGGACCGTTATGCTAGAAAAACAATGCCAAAGCCAGTGATACTAACAATAGCCATTGTCATTAGTCTATTAAATTTCTATAATACAAAAAATATAAATTGAAATTTACAGAAACAAAAATAGCAACTTAAAGCACAAGTGAAAAGGTACAATCCTCGAAAGATACAAATTATATTTACACACACATTTGAAGAGTACAATCTTGTAAGTACTGTATATTATTATTATGCCAGGTAGAAGTCAAGGAAAATTAGCTAAAATCTGCCTGGTTATATGTATGTATTCATATATAGTAAATCAGAACGCTGTAGAAAAGAAATTTTATAAATTGCATCATCTGATAAATATTCCTATGTTAATGATCTTCATATGATGCGAGCGCCTCCTGCATTCTGATGGGCACTTCCTTGGCTCTATTTCTCTAAGAGTTTCTCTCCCACATATGGTCTCTTAATTATTAGAACATCTGACGGACTGTCTGATTTCCTTCTTCTTTATTCATGAATTGCACAAATGTAGTTCACAACACCTTCTTTAGAACAAATGAATGAATTCGGATGTAAACAACCTTTTTCCAATCAAGGGAGGAGTGAGTTGAAAGGAGTGGCACATCGCTACACATTTAATCGGAGAAGTCAATTTCAAAATGGGGAGGGGAAGGTGGTGAAACTCTTAAGCTCTACTTGAAGTCAAAAAATAGGTCAAGACATGTGCTATACTATAACACATCAGAACAGAAAGTACACAGCGAAACAGCTCAGTACAAACATTAACTACAAACCAAAGTACACAGCAAAACAGCTCAGTACAAACATACCCAACAAACCAAAGTACACAGCAAAAACAGCCAAGTAAACATACCCAACAAACCAAAGTACACAGCAAAAACAGCCAAGTAAACATACCCAACAAACCAAAGTACACAGCAATAACAGCCAAGTAAACATACCCAACAAACCAAAGTACACAGCAAAAGAGCCAAGTAAAAGTTCCAGCCTCATAATGAGTTCCTGTGACTACTTCAGCTCGACAGTGGGGACAGTTGGTGTGGACAGGTACATCACGGAATGTCTGGATCACAGTCATGGCGGGCTGGGCCATCACAACGGTTGTTCCGTGGGTGTAATTGGTTTGCATGCCATAGGGTTGAGCGTAGCCTCCAGTCGGTTGAGCATAACCTCCGGCAGGTTGTCCTGGCTGGTTATAGCCTGAAATTAGTATTAAATTTAAAAATTAATTGTAACAAATGTTTCTATTTACTCATTTTCTGAAGCAGTCATTATTATTTAAACAGCATTTTTATTTAAAATACATTTTTATTTAAAATACATTTTTATTTAAAGGACATTTTTATTTAAAGGACATTTTTTATTAAAGGACATTTTTATTTAAAGGACATTTTTATTAAAGAACATTTGTATGTAAAGGACATTTTTATTAAAGGGCATTTTTATTTAAAGGACATTTCTTAAAAGGCTAAAACAATATAATTAAATCAAAATAGATAAAAAAAAATAATTTTAAATCAAAATAAAAAAAAGTTTTTAAAATTTTTTTTTATAAATAGTGCTTTATCTCTTAAAAATAGACTCTTCCATTAAAATTGATAACATAATATATTTCTACAGATTGATGGAAAAGGTTTCATCTAGAAGTGATTTTTTAAAAAATCAGTCTCCAGAGTCATAAACAAAATGTCAGAAAGGAAAAAAACAAAGTAAATTATATTATTTTATTGTTAGTGAAATCAAAACTCATTATAATTAAACTGAATTATTTTAATTCCTCTACTTCTTGTTAGCCATAGATAGTTTTTTATTAACTATAGCTACAATATCAAAGTGAATTTAATAAGACACATAATCAGAGAGTTATGAAAAAATCAATATACAACAGTTCATCCAACACAAAGATACAATACAAAATGCAGTTAGTTAAGGTTGAGCTTAAGCTGATCTGATGCCTTTCAGCTGATTTGATGTAGTCTTGTATGGAACCCATCCAATCCAGGGTAAACCGCAGCTGTGGTACAGTCAGGGACAGTAAACTGCAGCTGTGGTACAGTCAGGGATAGTAAACCAAAGCTGTGGTACAGTCAGGGACAGTAAACCCCATCTGTGGTACAGTCAGGGACAATAAACCAAAGCTGTGGTACAGTCAGGGACAGTAAACCAGAGCTGTGGTGCAGTCAGGGACAGTAAACCCCATCTGTGGTACAGTCAGGGACAGTAAACCAAAGCTGTGGTACAGTCAGGGATAGTAAATCACAGATATCATTTCTATAAAAATATAATACCTAAAATATCACAAGCAATAAGTGTTTTGTGCATTGGTCAGGCAACAAGGAATTGAATGGATACAGATTGACTCATCACATGGAAAGGTTAAATATGCAATAAACCTATCAGTGGTCTACAATTATAAAAAAAGAGTTCCTCAGATGGTAGGCAACTCTTACTTTTAAAAAAAAAGACACATTCAGTGTGTCAACACTTGGGGCGAGGAGGAGGGGGTAAAAAAACACTTTCTGAATAATTTTTTTTTATATTAAATGTTAATTTTGAAATTCATTATAACATCTCCATTTGTCTAAAACTCCCAAGAAATTGAGACAACACTTATTGAGAAAGTTCTGCATGTGAATGTGATTCTAGGAACATTGAGAAAGTTCTGCATGTGAATGTGATTCCTAGGAACATTGAGAAAGTTCTGCATGTGAATGTGATTCCTAGGAACATTGAGAAAGTTCTGCATGTGAATGTGATTCCTAGGAACATTGAGAAAGTTCTGCATGTGATTCCTAGGAATATTGAGAAAGTTCTGCATGTGATTCCTAGGAATATTGAGAAAGTTCTGCATGTGATTCCTAGGTAAAGGAACAAATAATAAATTGATCAGTAGAATAGGAGTTATCTAAACAATATCAATAATTCCTTTCTTCTGTTTCAGTTTTTACCCTCAACATTCATTCAAGTTCTGTTCATTTGTGTTGATGCAACTTCTGGTTCGTTTGTGTTCATTCAAGTTCCGGTTCATTTGTGTTCATTCAAGTTCTGGTTCATTTGTGTTCATTCAAGTTCTGGTTCATTTGTGTTCATTCAAGTTCTGGTTCATTTGAATTCATTAAGTTTTCAGATTTGGAGTTGGGAAAAGATTATTCTAATTTCAGAAAATACTTATGGGAAAAATTATTTTGGTATTTTTTTATTTGGTTACTGCCGTGCCTCAATAATATCTTTAAGAAAAATATACAAGTTTTACTGTACATGAATTCTATACTATAGGCCGATAAATTTAGAATTTTTACTGTTTATGAATTCTATTGGCCTTCGAGTGTAATTGTGAAAGTGCTCAAATCATCTAGGCCTGCATGCTTTGTCACACGTTACAACAGAAAGGATGAAATCTTAATCTAAGGGCTTTTAAAAACATGGATGCTACCTGCCCAGGCATAGACTTGTTGATGCTGAGGAGGAACTGCTGTAGAAAATATTAGGGTACATTTTTGGTCCAGCCTTGTCATGTTTATTTTATTTTTAACCTTATTTCCGTTCAATAACAAAAATTTAAAACATCTGTTCAAAAAAAAAAAATTTAAAACAAGACAATCTGCGTTTCTCAAGTTATTTTGTCAAATCTATTATTGCATCCTGAAAATATACACATAAAGAGTTCTTCTATATCAAATGAAATAGTGTCATCAATATCAAATCCCAAAAGGCACATCCTTATGATCACTAACACCATAACATCATAACATCGTACGACACTGAGCCACTCAACATCTACCTGGTGGGTATGCTGGAGACATAGGACATCCTGGAACCACAATAATGGAAATTGGTTTATTTGTTATAGAACTTGACTCAAGTTTTGTCTAGAAACCTTCTTTATAAATAAATGAACAACAAAAACTCATGGTTAACCTATTCGTTGGTGGTTAATAGTTATCGTTCAGTTCATGGCTAAAGATAACAAGATAAGGAAATAAAGGGTCAAGGTTATTATTTTTTTAAAGTGCACACAAAACAAAATGTAAATTATCAACAAGTTCAACGAATTAATTTGATTTAAGAAGAAACAAAAGTGAATGTCATCGTCGCCATGTCTTGTGCTCACACAGTGACCACACATCAACGCTTATGTTACTTTTGGAGCAAACATTAAGTGTCTGACTTGCAAATCTATGCGACAAACTACTTTGATAAAATTATCCACAAAAGACCAATGATTTAACCTGTAAAAATCACTTCAAAGCTATATCCAAACAGAATTAAAGCTGCATGCTAATTGTGGTCCACTATCTGTGGTCCACCATCTGTGGTACACTATCTGTGGTCCACTATCTGTGGTACACTATCTGTGGTACACTATCTGTGGTACACAATGAATTGATCATAAAATCTATTTTGATTTCTTAGTGCTCCGTTATGTGCAAGGTAAACGTAAATTATCCAATTTAGGGATAGTAAGCTGATGACAAATTTTCCAACTTAATGGCTTTGATCAAATTTAACACATTTTTTATTTGATGGCAACAGTTATCTATTCGCTATTGTTGTTAAGTACTTTTAAAGTTATTGTTTAAGGTACAAATAAGTTTTTTTTAAGGTTTAAAAAAAACTGACATGTAGTACCATTCAATGAGAAACATGTTCCTTAACTCCTATCGGGGACTAAAAAATAATCACACTTGACATTGTACTCAGACTCAGACAGCAAGGGGGACAATAAAGGGGTGAGCAGACTGCAATCAGTTTAGGCAGAAGGAAATAAGTGAAACAAAGTACGGAAAAAACCTTAAAAAAGGACACCAAAAAACAGCTAACGTGTCTGCTAGAAACAAACAACAGTAAAAACCAATATCAAAATTAAAATAAGCACTTAGCAGCAATGCAGTATCTGAGAGGACAATAAGACGACAGCAAGAGAGGACGGCAAGAGAGGACGGCAAGAGTGGACGGCAAGAGAGGACAGCAAGAGAGGACGGCAAGAGGGGACAGCAAGAGAGGAAAACAAAAGAGGACTGCAAGAGAGGACAGCAAGAGAGGTCAACAAGAGAGGACGGCAAGAGAGGACAGCAAGAGAGGACGGCAAGAGATGATTATTTGCTGCTTTGTTGTGTCCAGGTTTTCCCATCTTTTGTTTCGTTTATTTCCTTACTCAGACAGTGGAGAATAAAAGTTTAAAAAACTAAATTAAAAACCATTTAAAAACTAACAGGCCAACATTGCACGCTTGTTAATTTATTTGGATGTTTAGGGATGATAGGGTCACCGTAATGTTAATTTATTTGGGTGTATAAAGATGATAGGGTCACCGTAATGTTAATTTATTTGGATGCATAAATATGATAGGGTCACCGTAATGCTAATTTATTTGGGTGTATAAGGGTGATAGGGTCACCGTAATGTTAATTTATTTGGATGTATAGGGATGATAGGGTCACCGTAATGTTAATTTATTTGGATGTATAGGGATGATAGGGTCACCGTAATGTTAATTTATTTGGGTGTATAAGGGTGATAGGGTCACTGTAGAACATCAAGTCACTAAAACTGAGGCAGAAAAGTTAATCTATTGGTATTCATCTAATTTATCATTTCTATTGATTAATCTCATATTAATATTTGAAATTATAACAAAAAATGTGACTTAAACAGTTAACACACTGGTCAAGAACAACAACTGTGCAAGAAAAATGTTGAGATACCTGGAAGATACCCTGGTGCGGTAGGGTAACCTGTTCCAGCGGGAAAAAATGATAATTAAAATATCATTAAATGAGTTAAAACAAAGTGAATGGCAGATAGTCGCCATGTAGCCTAAATAGAGATTTTAGACAGATTTTGGGGCACAGCTAAACTTTGATTTCAGACAGAAATATGACATATTCTATTAATATAGATTTGAGCATAAATTGGGACATGTCTGAATATAGATTTTTGTCAGACATTAGGACATGTTCTAAATACAGATTTCAGCCAGATATTGGGACATAGACTAATATAGATTTCAGTCAGATAATGGGACAGTCTAAATATAGAATTGGGGCATATTCTTAATGATTGTAGCCAGCTATTGGGACATAATTTAAAATATAAATATAAATCATAAATGTAAAAAAAAACAACTGATACTAATTCATTGTAATGTTCCAGATTGGTCAGCACCACAAAATATACATAATCTTTGGTCTTGATAAAACAGAAATGAAGTTACATAGGTATAACTCAGTAGCATGAAATTGTTGTTTAATATGAAATAATATTAACATTACATGCACATTAATTTACCTTGTGGAGCTTTTGCTGGATCATAAGGGTCAGGAGGATAAGCCGGATTCGGAGGTGGATATGGATTCTGACCACTAGCTTCTGGATAGCCAGGATATGGTGGGGGTGGGCTTGCTGAAGACATCTGTAGCTGAAAGAAAAGTTTAAACATTATTTTTATTACATTAATCAATTAGAGCAGTGTTTGTTCGAGTGGTGAGGATGATGATATGTTTTGAAGTCAAATTCAACAGCAAGAAGTGTCTATAAGGGTGACGCCTTTTTGATAAGACTGTCTCACCTGTCAATGACAAGGACTGTTTGCATAATATATGCAGACAACACTGGCATAATGAACCATACATTTATTGTAATTTATACCAGACGCCAAACTGACCCTATTAAATATATATATATAGTTGTTGTTTTTTTGTTTGTCTCCTGGTGATTTAAAATTTTGTGACTTAAGAAGAGTAGCAAACAGAATGGAAACATTATATAAATATTAGGAAATTGCTCCGAGTGAATTCTTCATCTATTCTATAGAATCTCATCAGTAATGTGCATCCCTAATTGGTTCATTTGTCCTTAGGCAGTTAGGTCCAACACTTGTCTGAGTTTGGCAAGATGTCAGCAAACCTTTATGGCATAGATTATTCCGAGCAAGGGTCGGTCTAGCAAGCCACCTACGAGCTCACCCTAATCCCAACCCCCACCCCCCCCCCCCCCCCCCCCCCCCCCCCCCCCCCCCCCCCCCCCGAACCTGATGATTCGATTGTCCTAGTCGACTTCGACGGACGAACAACAGCAACATGATTAAATGAACATCTGTTTTGTTCTGAGTCCATTCCACAAAGAACTTCTGCATGCAATAACACATGTGCATGCTCAGATATTTCAACTCTTCCGTCCTTAAGCTATGAGAATAGCTTGCTCATGCTAAATCAAACTGCAAACAGTAGCTCCTGTTCTGTCAATTCAGTGGTGCAGTCATCATTGCAGTGATTAGCACCATCTTCTTATATGCATTTATTAGTAACCATATGAGAAGATTATGGGGAGACACGGCCCAGGAATACAGGATATCATCGCTCCTTCTTCTATATCTATCGGCAACTCTGACATCACACTCTCTTCCTCCGCCAGAAACCTTGGAGTCACGCTTACAGACACCCTCTCCATGGACAAACATGTCATGAACATATGCAGATCAGCATACAACGAAATTAGAAAAATCAGCACCATTAGAGACACCTCCTCTCCTTTGATGCCACAAAAACTCTCGTCTCTTCACTCATTCTTTCAAAATTTGACTACTGTAACACTCTTCTCGCATGCATCCCTCAACACCACATAGACAAACTTCAGAAGGCACAGAACTCAGCATGCAGACTCATTTTAAATCAAAGAAGCATGACCACATTCAACCACACATGCGGCAACTCCACTGGCTTCCAATATCCTCTCGCATCAAGTACAAGTCTGCCAATCTATGCTTCAACTCATTCACTGACCCTCACTTTCCTGTCTATCTCTCTGAACTGTTGCTTCCTTACGTCCCCACAAGACAACTACGCTCTTCAATTGACAATAGAACCCTCTCAATCCCAAGAACCAAAACTAAGACCATCGGTAAATGCTCAATCTACTTCCATGGGCCCACGTTCTGGAACCAGCTCCCCTTCCACATCCGTCATTGTGAAACCTCGCCCACTTTCAAAAAGTCCCTTAAAACCCATCTGTTTACGTCCGCCTATGACCTGTGATGCACCCTCCTTGCCCTGCCTCATTTTCTGTCTCGGGTTGATCCTGTAGTATAGGCCAAAACGTGCCAAAGTGTACTCGTTTTTATACCCATTTTAATGTTTAAGATACTGTTTCTATAGTCATTTTTCACATTGTAGTTACTACTCTAGTGTCTCTGGTTTTTCATTTTTGTTTTACTTTAGCAGTTTAAATAGTTTACATATTTTTAATAATTGTAAAGCGCTTAGAGCTGTAAGGTAAGATTATGAGGAGACTTGGCCCCAGGAATACAGGATATGAGAAGATTATGGGGAGAAATGGCCCAGGAATACAGGATATCAGATTATGGAGAGACATGGCCCCATAATACAGGATATCAGATTATGGGGAGACTTGCCCCAGGAATAAAGGATATCAATTATGTGGAGACATGCCCCAGGAATACAGGATATCAGATTATGGGGAAACAAGGCCTAGGAATACAGGATATCAGAAGATTATGGGGAGACATGGCCCCAGGATGCAGGATACTAGATTATGGGGAGACATGGCCCAGGAATACAGGATATCAGATTATGGGGAGACATGGCCCAGGAATACAGGATATCAGAAGATTATGGGGAGACATGGCCTAGGAATACAGGATATGTGGAGATTATGGGGAGACATGGCTCAGGCATACAGGATATGAGAAGATTATGGGGAGACATGGCCCCAGGAATACAGGATATGCTAAGATTATGGGGAGACATGACCCAGGAATACAGGATTCTGTTACTGATTTTTAATATGTTTGCATATATTTGTATCTTCATTATAATGGTAAGAACTGTTTTAAAATCGGACCAAAAAGTTTTTATATTATAGAATTTTATGAGACAAACATGGCCAAAGAGCGGTTTTGAGAAAAAGTTTTTAAAAGTCAGCTGGTTGGTAATGCACAACCATAATTGTGTAAATCGTAGCAATCGGATATAATATCAAAGAATCCCCATTAAAATTGCAGCTAGTGTTTACGAGTGAAGGAAATTCCGAGCCTGTCAGCTTGGTCACTTTCAAAATAGGGTTAGTCAAAAAGACCTTTATGATAAAAAAATCAAAATTCATTCTCCTTACAATAGCTTCTTCCTTCGCATCAATAATCCATAAATATGATAAATATGGCGTGCTTATGCCTACCGTTTAAACACATTTTAGCATTTAAAGCCTTCATGGAGAAGGATGGGTGATTGTTCCTGTACTAAGTAATCCTAAATGGTTCATGGACTTGGCTTTTCTAGTTGTCATTACACAGGAGCTGAATGTACTCAACAAGAAGTTACAAGACCAGGGGTAGCTTGTCAGTGTTGTCTATGACAATGTCAGGGCATTCTGCATAAAACTTGTGTTATGGTTCTTAGAGGAAACTGCCATTTCCCAACATGCTAAGTACTCAATGACTCGGGCACACCATTCAGTTGAACTTGGTAGTAAGTAAGTATGCTGATGCCATTGCAAAGCTACAGGAAGAATTGGATCACATTTTTTTACTTCAAAACACACACAGCCACTTTAAGCTTTTTGCTGACCCTTTTCTCCTTTAATGTGGAAGATGTCCCCCCTTCCCCTTTTTTGTGCTGAAAATGGAGCTGATTGATCTTCAGTACAATTCTAAGCTCAGGGAGGTGCATGGAAAAACATTCACGATTGATAATTGATGAGATCATTTTCTTCCACCTTCACTGAGATTTCCAGGTTGTTCAAGCGGATCATATCACTTTTTGGGAGTACCTATCTGTTTGAAAATCTCAGCGGGTATGTGAGGCTGACAGTTGTAAATATGTTTATTTAGAAACTTGAGAAAATCATGTCTTGGTCGAAGCGGAAGTTTGGTCGATTTTTTTTCTCTAGTTCACAGGATCTAATTTTGTATCAAATTTCTTTATGAAATTCATTATTCAAACTTCCATTGGGTCAAACGTCTGTTGATCAATTTTCTGTCAACAAAATTTCTTTCAAACAAATTTCCGGTAACCATTTTAAATAGGAGGGGTTGGGACCCTCTACTCTATGGATGAATGTGAAAACTCCCTTAATTACTTAATATTAAAATACCCTCTAACAATGTAAACTTGTAAATAAAATAAGGTATAGTGAATAAAATCCCCTTTCTAATTCATAACATAATACACTAGGGATCCATAGAAATAAATGACTGAACTTATCCCAAATGCACACAAAGTATTCTAAGTGATGGGGAAGAGGCCTTTCATGCCGCATGTTTTTATACCCTAACACTGAGGTCAAATTCCTCGACAGTGTTGGGTGCTGAACACTGTTTCACGTTTCGTAAAAGCTGGCCTACAATGCCCATTACAATAGGCTATAATTAATTATATTAATATTATTATTCAATTGCTATACAGTATTATATAGAGTATAGTGTAATGTAAATGATAATCTAAATCTATATATATATATATATATATATATATTAAATATTAACTCTTACTCTCACAAGTTACATAAATAAGCAACACAAAATTTGAATTATGTGGCCTAGCATAAGCCTGCTACTAGTAATTACTACTAATAGAATTAGAATAGCCTAGGAAGTAGTAATGTTGGAAAATGACAAAATACTCAATGTTGATTTGGCATTGTTTGGCAGCCATAGTAGACAGTAGTGTTACAAACAAAAAATACTGATTATAGATTATTTATAATATCGGTCAACTACTACCGGAGATTTCCGTAAATAAGCCCTGGGCTTCAAAACAGAAAATTGATGTTACATGATTGAAATTTTTGTACCAAATAAAGGACCATAGGCTTTTAGATGGAAAATACAAATCAGTTTAACTACATATTACCTGAGACACTCGCATGTAATTTTGTGTATATTTATTTCTGTTTGTCAGCCAAAATCTTTTCTAAGTTGAAAATACGTTATAAAAAATTTAAACGTTATTTTATTTTGTATAAAAGATCAGTCGTAAGTAAAGTGAAAGGATCATTTTTTAAAGATTGTTTTTCTTCATATAAATCAGATTACCCATAGATTTAAATGTAATCATTCATCCAACAATCTTCTGAGAAAAGAAATACTGGTAAATACTGATAAATAAAAATACAGTTAACACAGTTAAGATAATTTACTTTAAAATTTTGCTGTTTGAAAATATTGAAAAAGTGCAAAAAATCTTTTTAATCAGAGTCATTATCTGTAACATCTTCAAAATGGTCATCAGACTCTTCTTCATCATCGTTCTGTTCATGTGCACGTCTGATACCTTCTTCAGCTTCAAAACTGATTACAGCTTACAATCGCTGGTTGAAATGCTTGTTATCATCACGTATTACCCCACATGCACTAAATGATTTTCATATGTTTTCAGGTGAGATCATTTTTAAGCTTTCTGACACCATTTGAAGTAATTGTTCATAAGATGGTTTTTTACTGTATCCACCTCGTGTATATTCTTTCACCCCATTTTCAAACCAATCTTTTCATTTCTGCTTTAAAATAGCCTTAAATAGCAAATTAACACCAACATTTAAGGGTTGTAGGAATGATGTTGTTTTGGCAGGAATAAGTTTGACAGTTGCATTTATGCGGCATGATGCAAGAACAGCTTCACTTGTGTGGGACCTGTGACTGTCCATGATCAACAATGATTTTCTTGTTGCGAAATAAGGCCCTCTTCTTTTGTAGACATTTTCTATCCATTCACTCATTAGATCCTCTGTCATGGAGCCTCCCTTTGACACTGTCAAAAGATATTTTCCGGAATGTCACATTTCGGTACATTTTTAAGTCCGTTCAGTATTACCATGGCCTTGATAACCCGACCAGATATACCACTGTATACCTTGTCTTTTCATGCCCTGTGTTCATGCGTGTTCATGCCCTGTGTTCATGCGTTAACATTTTTGTCACCAACAAAATGCAACGTTGAACTCCCAATAGTGTCAACATAGCATGGGGTCTCGTCCATGTTGAAAATGTCATCATCGGTAAGTCCGACCGTTGCTGCATGCACATATTCCATGTAATTTTTCACTGTCCTTACAATTTTTTCCCGGAAATAATTTCCTATAAAATATTCCGAAAATAATACAATTGTGGTTTTACGTTTATCGTTTGAAGTTAAATGTTTAGCAACAATAAAAAAACATTAAAATTTATTTTTATAATACTTAATCATAATGACAGTGACGATTCATCAGAAGTTTCGGTATGTGGGTTTAATAATGTTTTAACCTAATATAAGCCCATGGGCCTGTATACGGAAAGACTTTCAGAATACAGGGCTATGGGCTTATGCTCGGGTGGGCCTATTTACAGAAATCTCCTGTACTACTTCTTTTTAATTAATACTTAAGTTGACCAACTACTGTCACTAAGTTGAATAAGATTATAAACGAAACTGTCATGTAATTTAACACTACAGTACAGTGAGTTAATACAACTACAGTCACAGACTACACTACACTAGTCTAAAGTGACAGTGACAGTGTGTCAATTCTAGTCTTTAGTCACTTTGAGTTTGAGACTTTAGTGACTTAGTCCATTTAAGTCTAGTAATATTCTGAAACATTCAGTAAGTCTATTCAATTAATTATTCTGCTATAAAATTTACTAAATTATAGCTATTACTTACTACCTAGAGTGTGTTATATGGGATTAAGATCATAAGTTATATTTAACCTTAATAAGTAATTCAGACAGATCGTTTCGATTGTTATTGTTGGTTGGATCCTGGATTAGTTTAGGTTTTACTTCCGTAATCACAGTCGGGCCATTCACAACACGGGCGTATGAATTTTTTTAAAGCGGGTGTGGGATGGGGGTCTGTGGTTCTCTAAAGGCGGCATTTTCGTTCTACTTCATTACAAAATATATAGCTCATGTTTGATGTATCTTTTGTGTACATGTATGTAGACAGGGACGTCATTTGGGTTGGACAGAGGCACCCCCACCCCTCCTTCCTCTGATTTGCAGGTTAAATGTAAATTACTATGTAGGCCTACAGTGGCGCCTCAAGTAATAAACAACTCAACAAGCCGGCCAAGTTTTGGGTTTGCTCATCATGGCCAAAAAGATGACAGAGATAAAAATGGTGATTAAAAGGACAGTAAGCCTTGTGATTACCTGCCTTGTAGGGGTACACGTAAAGTGATGTAGCTTGCCTGGGGTTAGTGCTAATGGGGCAAGCCACCCATTTTGCTGTCCCCCACTCCTCTGAACCTATATGGGACCTCGGGTATTTTAAGGGGCTAAAGCTGTGTTGTGGAAAAAATAACCCTCAATTTTGAATTCAGAGGGCAGAAAACCGTATAGTTGAAGGGTGCCTCAAAAATCCAAAAGTCGCGCGATTGCTGTGATAGATTTTGATACCAATCAAGTGCTGGTATTAACAAAGTGTACGTGACTATTTAGGGGGCGTCCATTGATTATGTCAACAATTTTTTGACCCCCCCCCTTCCTTGTCAATAACTGTCAAACTTACCCCCAAGTAATTATGTCTACATTTTTATAACCACCCCCCTCCCAAAAAAAAAATAATGAATTATAATATAAATAAATATGTAAATACTTTTTACTTTGTGCTGATCTATTTTAATAACATAAAATTGTAGGGAAAACATTTTGTGCATCTTTAGCTTGTTAATCAACAATTTAAAAAATTTTTAAACTTAAATTTTATAATGCAGAATCAATGAAAAGGTTGTTAAGGACTAATTATCATTGTTTTTGGAAGTATACATATGATTATTGTCAGTATATCTGACAATTGTCGCATAGTGCCTAGCTGCTATCATCTTCAAATTGAGTAACCAGGTGTTGCTCTAGCGTACAATGGGCATAGTAGCTGATTTATTATTTTCATCTTGCAGAACTAATATACCAGACAAGTCAACATCGTTCTCATCTAACCATGCAGCACTTGAAATAGAAGCATTTTTAGTGTGAACAATAATTGCCACAAGCTCTTTCTGTCTCCTGGCAGCTACTTGCATTAGTCGAATCCTTTTTTGTTGAGGAGCAGGTGGTAATTTCTTATGCTCAAGAGTGCATTGTCGGTGCTGTTGAAGATGCTATTTCAACATGACTTGTGATGCAAAGTGGATGTTACAGATTGGCAAATCCTTCAAGCAGCGATGTTATTATGTTAATCACTTTACTTTCCCCTAATTCTCAAAATATTGTATTCCTACTCTATCAATATCATTTATCTTGTCCGCACATGACACTTGAACCTTGTCATTGTTCCATACATGCAACACGATCGCAAACATACCACCCTAGTCATTTGCGACAAACAGAATCTACAGCCGAAGAGAGGCCAACTTTTTACTTCTCTGGCACTAACACAGTGTGCTAACATTCTGACCAGCCATCAGCAGTGCACAGACAGACACACATTAAATAAATCTTATATTGATAAAAGCCTACAAATTATATAACTATTTCAATTTACACTCATTAAATTTGTTAAAATAATGTAATAACCAGTCAATTTTTAAGATTAAAATTTTAAGAGAGAAAAAATGTTTTTTGACGTTAACTAATCTAAACCCCCTCCCCCCTTGCCAACAATTGTCAAACATTTCCAACCTTGCCCCACCCTATTTTGTTGACATCATTAATGGACGATCCCTTAACAGAGACAATAAAAACTGTGTTTTTATTTAAACATGTTTTGATTGAAACCGGGACAGAATATGAAACCAACCGGGACAATGTTTAATAATTATGTCCTAAAAAGTGCCGCCTATAGGGGACCGCACCTTCAATGACCCCCCTTATTTCTACGTCATTGCCGTGAAGGGCTCTGCTGTTCAACCCGTAAATAAATAAAATAGACCTTCAATTATTGTCGTAAATAAATAGTGGTTTAAAATGTGTTTAGGCTTATTTTTTTCAAGCCTAAACATATAATTCTCCACTATTAAAATGCGTAATAATAAAAGTCAACAAATAAGAGCTAAAACTAAAAGCAATCTTTATTTCAGATAGAACGAAGAGAGACTGCAATAACCGAGAAACATGCGTTATTTACGGACCTCAGTGGCTTCTAAAACAGTGGTTATGTACGGAGTCACACTGTTTCTAAATTAAGGATGCTGAAGTAATATTTCCGGGTAAGGACAGACCAAACAGTAACTTTTCGAACCCGGATTTCAAGGATCAGGTACAGACCAGTGCTCAAGTGACTTCAGAGGTAGGTCGATAGAAAGAAGGCTCTTACGAGGTAAATCTTATGGGTTTATTATAGGCCAACTTCTTCATCATTATTTACTCTATATATTTTCCTAAGAATGTATTATTAAATAATTAGGAAAGTATCCTTGCGGAGAGAAACAAGAAGTTCAAAGAAAGTATAGACTATAGAGTATAGAGTCTATACTCTATAATATAAACTTAGTATACTACACTACTATACTATACACTACAGTAGTCACTACAGTTTAGTTTAGTGTTCTTAATTTTAAGGTTATGCCTATATGAGTATATATGTATGGTTATAAATTAGTCCAGTGATGGGTAGGGGGAGAGGTCACCTATAAGGTCCACATTAACAAGTGACAAGTGATAAAGTGCCTTAATCTTAAAGCCCTTAAGCCTTAAGTTATGCCATGGACTACTAAGACTAATGACTTTCACTTTATGATAGATAGATGCTTCATTCATCACATATTGATATTGAGATGAATGTAACCTTAGGAGCGGTTTCGTTTTTTTATAAAAAAAAATGTCAACCACCAATGAACTTTGCTATTACTCAGTTTTATTGGTGTTGACCGTTTTATAAAAAAACCATAATTTGACATGATATTTTTTACTAACTCTTTCGCTGCGGCTTAATTGCGGCAATGGATAGTACATTCATCTGCTATGCTAAAATTAAAAAGCAATAACCAATGCACTGTCTGCGTTGTTGTTTCAATATCATGGTTGTTCATACATTATACAGTTTATCTGTTTCTTGGTAAAAATTTTCAAGAGTTATTTTTTAATTAGATTTTTACATAGAAGAGTGGTACATTTTTGTTTATGAGCTAGGTTTATTTGTTATCATTTGAAGCATTATTTTATTAATATCTTTTGCTGTTTTTTTTTCATTATTAATACTGTTGTTATAACGAAGTGTCTACACGTCTGGCGCGCCGGACGTGTAGTGCGCAAGATACACGTCCGGCGACTTGTCACGTGACCGGACGGCTAGTAGTTTTTATAATTCCAAACGAAGTAAGATTTAGTACATCTTGTCTGGTCTTGTGGTAGAGTGGTTGCTTGACGATAGGAATGTTTGAGGATCTATACCGGGGATAGGGTCGTTTTTTTTCTTCCCATTTTAATTTAAATATTTTGTATATATTTATATTATCATGTTCCTCAGCAACAGTAGTTTCATGAGAAGTTTTTAAATATTTTGTAGCAATTGAAATAATTTAAAATGAAATCTTTAACTTTTATTGGTTGCCACACTGGCCCCTAATTTATTTTATGGATTACTGGTACACAAAAAATAACAAACTAAACAAAAATGTTTACAAGCCACTTTCACTTAAGTTTCTTTTTCTATTATTTGCATTCAAGATACTCAGTACATTACTTGGTAGAGAAATAGATTTTAAAATTAACAATAGTTTTGAATTATTCGCAGTCACGTGACAAGGCTGACCGACACGATATCTCTCGCCACTTTGTTACGGCGGTCATGTGACTTGGTCGCCGGACACATAGTGCGGGAGATAGACGTCCGGCGCGCCGGACGTGTAGACACTGCCTTGTTATAACTACTGCAGGCCCTATTGGGGTGAGAAAGTTTCCTAGACGATTAACAGCTCAACAAGCTTTGGAACTGTTTTTATACTATTTCTATTGAAAGTGAAGAGTGAAGATGATTTAGATTCAATTGTAGTTGTTTTTGTGAAGATGTATGCCTCCATCAAAGTCAAAGGGTTTGGGGGAAAAAAGGTTTTGCATTTCTTGTTTTCACATTTTAAGTTTCTTTTCTGTTACTTATTTTAGTTAAACTGAGTAAACAAGTTATAAAACATATATTATATAGTCTATTCAATTATCTTTCATTTGATACCAAATTTAGCGTTATAAACCAATAACTAATATTTAAAATATTTTTTAATAAACTCAACCTCTCACTCTTTGAAAAATATGTAAATTTTTTCATTAAAAAAATTCAGCATCAAAAGAGTTAATATTATTACATGCAGATGGCAGAGGGATCATTGTAATTTTATGTGCAAAATTGAGTCTATCAGTATCGGTCAGATATTTAATTTGCAAGAACACCAAAGGAGAGAAGAGAATAACACAACCAACCCTTGCCACGTGCATTCTCAGTTGAAGGTATTTAAAAAAAAAGTACTGGTACTGCACAACCTATTTACAAACAATCTTTACCTATTTCAATAGATGAATTTGATATCTGGTGACAATAGCATGTTGTCTTACAAAGGGTAGAAACAGGAAGTGATGATTATATTGCGCATCATCACAATAACAAACTCATCTCAACTCGACGCACCCAGTCACTTTGTAAAAATTATAATAAGTTTATTTATCCTTTGGATCTTTGACTCATTTTGAGATGTTTCTCAAAATTTCCAAGAAAAGGCCCATTTCTTCGGTCAGAACCTTCACCATTTTTTAAAGTTTATTATTACATTATTTAATGATGTATAATTAAATATATTGTGGCAAACTTTCCATTTTTTTTATATCTGGTGATACATTTTGGTCTTAAATATTATGTGCCAAGGCAAATCTTATTCAATTTTGTACAATTCGTCAGTTCCAATATTGCCAATATTGTGAAAAAAATTGGAAACTCACCCCTCTGTCTCTAGATTCTAGTCTTTGCCTAGCTTCCCCGAACTGAGGAGAAAACAAAGTGGTTTCTATTTTGTGAGGAGGTGAAACCATTTTCAAGAACTTTATTTTGTGGTCATATTTCGGTAAACTAAAATTGACCATTGATAAGCCCTCTTTACATATAGTAAGGCTATACATAATTTCTTTTTTATCCCCCTAGTTAATATCAAAATGTCACAGAATCCACCACCACCTCCTTATCCTGGTGATGCCGATGGAAAAGGTTGGTCAAAATTTGAATGTTCTGTCTAAATATGAGTATGTTATTATCCAATCATTTTAATTTGAAAGCATACAAATAATGTTCCTTTATGAGTATTGAAATGTTTGCCTTTTACTTTCTTAGCTCTTATAACATTTTATAAAATATGTTGTATTAGCTTAACCAGATCAGACAAATATTAGCTTAACCAGATCAGACAAATATTGACAAAGGTGACATGTGACCATTTCGGTCAATTAGTCATTGAATGACTTAGAGATTTTTTTTTTTTAATTCACCGTTATGGATACACTGCTGCAAGTAATTTCTATTTCAAATTACAGGGGCCCAAAGCTATGGAGCACCTTACCCACCCCAAGCAGGTTATCCAGAACCTCAAGGAGGCTATCCACCATCTCAAGGAGGCTATCCACCATCTCAAGGAGGCTATCCACCACCCCAAGGAGGGTACTATCCACCACCCCAACCTGGCAACTATCCACCACAGGGCTACCCTCAGCAGCCAGGCTATCCACCCAACCAAGGCTACAATGCTGGTCAGCATTCGACAACTGTTGTGGTTGCTCAACCCCCTATCACGCTTGTGCAAACTTTCAATGCTGTGCCTGTGAGAACTTCATGTCCTCATTGTCGTGCAGACATTGTAACAGCCACACACTTTGAAAGCGGGACATTTTCTTGGGTCGTCTGTGTCATTTTATGCTTGGTTGGGTAAGAATAATACATTGTACGGTATATTAGTTAAACTAAATTGTTTTTCTTTTAATTTTAAAAAACTATCTTTTATTATAATCTGTGGCAAGAATTTTAAAATGATTGTTTATCCCATTAATAGTTTAGTTATTCAGTATGATAATATGGTCGCTTTTTATTGGTTTTGGGCAGAATTAGAAAAATTGACATTAGAATATTTCTTTTTAAAAAGTATTCTAATGTCAATTTTGACTTTCATTGGTCAATAAGATAACTTGAACATAAGTCAATTTAATTTTGTTTGTGTCCAGGTGTGACTTAGGTTGCTGTCTAATACCGTTTTGTGTGGAAGGCTGTCAAGATGTCATTCACACCTGTCCAAACTGTCGTCAACAAATTGCAAGATGGAACAGGATGTAGATTTCAAGTAAGAATTCTTCTAGTTATTTTTTTATCACATCATCATGCAGTCACGTAAAGATGAATGTTTATTTACAGACAGATAAACTTATTAAATAAACATACTTTCTTTATTTGTATACTTTTATTTTTTAAAGTTCCAGATTTGTTTTGGAAACCGTAATTGGTATGGTTGGAGCTGTTTCTGAAGTATGATTGTAAAATCACATGCCAAGTTGGCTGTTGTCTTCTGTTTGGTGGTTAAAATCATTCACTCAGTCAGGGTTAACCTTTTCCCCTATAAAAGCTTCCTTATGTCTAACAAGTCCATTCCACTTGGGACAACTGGTGACAAATTTGGATATTCTTTTTTTTTTCTCCCTCACGTTAAAAAATGTATCGAAAAATATTTTTATTTTATTCTGAAATTATTCTGCTTTTTTAAATGAATTTTAAATGCTTAAAACCTATGCAATTTTTATAAATATTCAAACAACAAGAGGTTACAACATTTTCTTTTTTTTTTTTTCCTAGCACATGCTCCTTATAAACTGGACAAATTCAAGTGACAGAGCCTCAAGTGACAGAGCCTAAAATGTTGTTTTTCTTGGAAACTCAGCTTGACTTCTAAACCCACTGTTCTGAAGCAGAATCATTTGAATTACTTTAGTTATTTTAGGACCGCAGAAATATTTTATCAACATCCACATTTACAATTTTCTCAGCTTTTTAACATTTTCATGTACAGTATTTTAAAGACTTTGATGAATTTTAAAGCTGCATGCATTTTAAGACTTTCATGTATATTTATGAAATTTATTATTTTGTTCCAACTTTTATTGTTTTTAATGATTTCAATTTGATACTGTAAATTTTAAAAAAATTATTTTGTTTTATTCGTTAGAGTTTTGAGAGTACCAGTGAGTGAAAAATGTGCTATTTTGACCCAATCTGATGGATCATAAGAAAGTCTTCTAAATTAAGGGGAAAAAACCTAAATAGTCATTTTATTAATTTTATGTCACACTCATCTCTAAAAACGTTGATCCTAGTTAAATTAACATTTTGTAAATATGAATACAAGTCCTTTTATCATGTTTCTATTTCTATTAGCTGTTGATTGAAACATATTATTTGGATTTAATAAATGAAGTTTGTATCCATATATACATGATTGCTGTCGTATAGGGGAATTTTCATGTAGTAATACAAGTAATAGCTCAATTTTGCATAATTCTATTTTTAAGTGACACGCTGTCATGTTTTGACGTATGTAATATTTTATTTCAGTTCATTTTGTAGTTATTTATTTATTTCATAATGCAAAATAAATGGAGTTCACTGTAAAATCAATTTGTGTTAATCTTTCAAACCAAAGCTCACATTTATTAAGTTAATGACTGAATCCATGTTATACCAAAATTTAAAATTGTCTTTATTTTACATCTGTGAACCATTATAGAATGTTTATGTCTCGATATGAGCACTTTATCATTTACACTGACAAATTTATCATTAGAATCACACTATATAGATATGCTTTGTTATGCAGTATACATAAATCATTTTAGCTAATAATTATTTTTTCATCTACTATGCCCCCATATATTATAAGGCCCAAAACATTTTTTCCTGTAATAGAACCAATCCTGTATGATTCATATACCTCTGTGGCCTCTCAAAACTGTCTTAGCTGTTTGAAATCTATGCACTGTCTCACTTCTTTATGTTACTCAAAGAAAGCGGAATTACTTTTTTTGCATTTTTTGACCCATGCAAAATAACATTTCTTTGTTTATTCATTAGCTCTTCTGTCCATTTATCATTGCTCAGTTATTTGATTAAACAAAAATGATAAATAGAAAGTCAGTCTTTAAACCGATCTGATGAGAGTATTCTTAGTTATTTTAAGCTAAAATAATGGACAAATCTTTAAGTTTAAGGATCCAAATATGAACAGTTGAAAGGATTTATATTAACTGTACAACATGACGACTTCAATTGGTTTAACTGCTTTTGTCTTATGTTTAGTTTTCCATGGCAGGAATTTAAAGTTTTTATTGGGTGGAAACTGTTTCTTGTAATACATGTCTGCTGCATTCTACTTAAAGCAATTTGTTTAACTTGAAGATTCAGCCGTTTATCATTACCAGATTTTCATCCCTTTCATTTCGGTAAAAATTGACTTGCAATGAAATCTTAACATATTTCTCTTCAAGATATAATATAAGATCTTTCACTGATCCAAAGAAATGGAAATGTTTTTAAAAAAAAAATTAATTGTACATATTCATTTTCAGCATATAAATAAATCCAAACTGTATTTAACGAAAACAACATTTTACAATAATAACAATTGAAACACTACAACTTAAGTATTGCTCTAGTGTAGCATATTCGCAAATGTAAAAAAGGTTTCACGTAACGTGTATATATAGGGGAAATATAGTCTTTCTGTAGCTGTATTAAAAGATCTTCATGAGGGTTTAAACAGGAAAATTGGTGGCAGTCATTTATTTAGTTGATGTACATTTAGTAGCTCACTTACAATAACCGACTCTTTGGTAAATGAGTTATGTCAATTTATAAGATATCTGTTATTTCTCTTTTTGTGTGGTCTAAAAATGCACTGTACACTTTTTTAAAAAAAGGAGAGAAAAAAAAGAAGAGAGTTTCTAATTAAATTAGCTTTATTCTATTTTGTAAATATTATTTTTGTTGGCCATATTTTACTTATAAAATACATTGTTGATTTGCTTTCTATTTCAATCAAACTTACTTGCTTGAAAAATTTTTTTGGATTGCACAAACCCATACACAAGTCACTGAATACACCATTATATTATCTGATGTTTATTTTGTTAAAAATAATATACAAATAATTATGTAGTAATTTCTTTCTTTGCATTTGATATATTGTGTCAGGATTGCATAGATATCAAATAGATGGCCCATTTTATCCTACTCCACTTTGACTGCTGTATGTATGGTGGTTGGGTTTGTCACTCAGGGTTTCCTTTTCCCTTAGCATAGTTCTTTTGTTGAGGTAATTCCAATCCAAAGCTGCCTATCTCATGCTTGTGAGGCTGTACCATACAGGGCTGGCTACCTCCTGCTTGTGAGGCTGTACCATACAGGGCTGCCTACCTCATGCTTGTGAGACTGTACCATACAGGGGCTACCTTCTGCTTTTAAGGCTGTACCATTGGGCCACAGGTCTGCCTACTCACGTTTGTGAGTAAATCAAACCATACAAGTCTTCTCAACACTTCGTCTTCGGTGAGCTACACCAAGCAACTAAATATTTCAAATTTGTTTCAAGTTAGCTTTCATGCAACTTAACTTTTATTTTGTTTATCTTACTGCTGATGTACATCCTGTGCAATGCAGCAAGTTACTTTTAGTAATGAAGAATAAATAGATTAAAGCACAAGTACCAAAATGTCCAACATTTCCTTTTCATGTATAAACAATTTTAACTATTTGATTTTTTAAATTTGATTTGATTGGATATTTATATAGCGCTGGTATCCATGCTACTTTAGCATGCTCACTGAGCTCTGGTTTACTTAAATCTATTTAAACAGAAACGTTTTTAAATGTTTCTTGAATAATTTTTTATTATTTTCAATTCCCCTCAAAGATTGAGGCAAACTGTTCCATAATTTTGGCACTATCGCTTCAAAAGAGCGCTTTCCCTAAGACTTTTTTCTGTGTTCATCCACACTCGGAATTTTCAGTTAGGACTGTGTTGAAGACCGCAGGTTCTTTAAGGATACATGTTTATAAATAAGTTCTTTAACTTAAAGATATTCTGGTGCTGAGCCTTCTATGCAGCTGTATGCCAGGGACAGAATTTTGTAATTAATGTGCTCACCCACAGGAACCCAATGGAGATCTCGTAGAACTAGGGTGATGTGGTCAGATTTCTTTATCTGCGATACAATGCATGCTGCAGTATTTTGTACCTTCTGGATTTGGTTAGCGAAAGAGGATAAAATTGTTAATAGCAGCTAATGGCAAGGGAAATATCAAAAGCACTTCATTATCTGTAAATGTAGACAAAGCTCTATAATCCGGACTAGCCCTAATCGTTATTGACAGACATTTCATGTGAGATTTATTGGAGGAGATGAAACTTTGAAAAAGTAATGTAAAGACAGCAATCCATCAATCCATTCCTATGTGTACAGAATTCCAGTCAGATAGATCCTTTATATTAAATATAAATATATCTATGACCAAGATGACGTGGTGCAATTCACTCACAAGTCCCACACAAAGAAGCTCATTGTCGATAATTAACAAGACCTTTTATTGTTCTGAGTACTCAATGCTCATCAGTGCACAGTATTTGTTTTAATAGTCAGCTTACAACTAAGATTCTAAAAGACAGTGAAGGCATTAGATTTGACAAAAACTATCTCCACCACTCCATGTGTAGGTGTCCAACATGGACCCTTCTTTTGGACTCTCCATCAGTTCAAGAGACTAGATAAGCTTCTTTCTTTCATTATCTCATCCAAATTACAACAAATTATACTTTTAACTTAAGGTCAACTACTCTATAGTCATTGAGATGACTCAACCTATTACCTGTGACTATGAGTGACATCATTTCCTTCCTCTCCATAGCCTACATGGAGCTGGGATTTTGGCTTCTCATTTGGGGTCAATCCATTTTTTTAATTTCATGCTCCACAAATTCCATTTTTTAAATATGACCAATATAGGCATCTTATCTAAATCTAATTTCAATCCTTGTATATTTGAGGTCTTTGCACCACTTGATAATTACGTAGCTTTATCTTCACATTTCACCTCCATACAGTAGCAGACATTTCATTGCATAGTTGCCTGTAATTTTTGTTGTCTGTTCCCAGTATATATTACATGAAGGACCCTATTAAAAAAACCCATTTGAATTCTTTTAACATCATGTTTACCAAATAATTTGAAAAAAAATGGAGCTTTGAATTTAAAGAAAACCTGACCCAGCTTTGCTGCTTGATTTGTAATCAACTTTAGTGGTATTCTTTCTTTTACTGCTAAATCAAGTGTGGTTAATTATTTTTTTTTTAAACTTTTAAAAATGCCCAAATAATTTTTGTTTTTGATGTAAATGACAATTTTCAAATAAACTTTAATATATAAACAATCATTAACTTTAACAAGTAAATTAATAAAAGTGAAAAATATTATGTGTAAAATACAAAGAACATGTCGGTTACGAGAATGAGATCTGAAATGACACATTTTCTCACATGTTATTCATCTAAACAAAATATTTTTTAACCCAATGAATAACTAATAAAATTTTACTACAAACATTATTGTGATTTCTTCTTAACAATGGACTGTTCTGTTTTTGTAATCTATGATTTATCTCTAACAGCATTACTCACCAAAAGGGAAATGTTCAGATTTCCTGTATCAGTATCATGGAAACATGCTGAGAAGTAGAAGTCTTTTCTATGGTTTCCGAGATGCTGTATTTTCTTGCATTACATTTTAGAATGTTGAGTTTCACCAGCTGGGAGACTGTGAAGTTTTCTGACTTTAAGACACAATGGCCATAAGAAATTAAAAAACAACTCATGTGTAAAGAATTAGGTTAAGGTATTATAAAAACAAACTTTTCATTGTTGTCCTCAGTTTTAACGAACCTTCACCTTATTCCTCTGTACTTTGTTTTGTATTCTGATCTTTTCAGAGTTAACACAGTGTAGTTTTTAAGGATGGCGGAAAAGCCAATTTTGAATATGCTCTAACCCTAAGGTCCTAATTGTATCTTAAACAAAAGCCAAGTTACTGGTTTATTTAAAGAATTTGATTTGTCTGAACAACTGTGTGAATTTATTTTAGATTAAATTCATATTAACCAATTCTAATTGGCTTGCTTCTTTCTTTTGCCTGGTTTTGTTTAACAAATAGTGACAGTTGCACTGAAATTTGCCCATAATAGAATCTAGTGTTTCAGAAAACTAAAATAGCTTTCCCACTTTAAATGTTAAATTTGGTGTTGTTGATCAGTTTTTTGATGAAGAAATAATAAACTACCACAGGTTTGGTCTTTAAACAAACCATAAAAACAAAGGTTTTTGTATAAAGCCTTCATTAAATGTAATTTGGAGCAAGTAATGGGGTGGGGGGGGGGGGGGGGGGGGGGGGAGTGAAAATTTGACAAAACATGCTCAAGTAACTCATTTTTTAACATGAAGTGGGTCAATTAGCATTCCAAAAATTTTGCCAGCCAGCCACTAACAAAAGCAAAATTAATTCAAAATATTTAAAAAAAACAACACTTTAATAAATTGACGCTCTTTATTGTTTGATTCTTTTTAAAAAATAAACTTTAGGCACCAACGGATCAGAATGTAGAAAATATTTCAGTTAAAAGATGCACTTCATGGTATTTAGTATACTGAATTTTCGTCAGTTGCATCCACATAGATATCTATACACTCCAAATTAGCAATGTCACTGTTTAATGTGTATGGACCAGTGACATGGTTAACATCTTGATCACCAGGCAGATGATGGGTGGCTTCAACGTTTAAACAGGCTGATACAAGCCGCTTGATCTAACAGTAATATAATGACACATTTCTTACACTAACATTTTCAATTAAATATTTAGTTAAATAATTACACTAGAATTACTGTCTTCATTTTGAAACTAATTTGCAAAAAATCACAGAAAATCCAAATATATTTACCTTTATCTGTAATGTAAAAATATGAATATGATAACTTTCCCGTTAGTAAGGAACAATTAGTTGACTGAATTAAACATAGCTTCCTCCAGTAAAAAGATTGATCTACCTTCAGTTTACATGTATGTCTAATTAAAAGTTACATAACATGATTTAATGTGAAGAAAAAATTTTACTAATAATAAAATTCTAAAATTCCCCATTCTAAAGAAAACAAAACAAATTTTCATTACTAAATTGTTGATTTTAAAGTCTCATGTGTAGGTGTCCAACCTGAAATCTTCTTTTTGGACTCTCCATCTATTCAAGAGTCTAGATAAGCTTCTTTCTTTCATTATCTCATCCAAATACAAAAAATTAAACTTTTAACTTAATGTCAACTAAGGGAGGAGAGGCCTAAACAAATGTAACAGTTATTAGGGTTATTTTATTGTTTCAATATTAAGTTTAAATAGGAATCTTAAATTAAGACCTGTCATTGCCCAGGTGCCATTCAGAAATTTTGTGTAAAGTGAGGAGCTTTGGCTAAAACACAAGCTGCATATCAATGACTTCAGTCAGAGAAAGTAACCCTATGATGAAACTGTCCTCATAAGATTTATGTCAATCACTTCAATCACATATATAATATGTATCTTGTAAAGGAATACAACTTGGGGTTGGGGAAAGGGGTAAGAAGGGGGGTGGGGGTCCAGGGATAAGGAAAAGGAGGATACATATAAATGACCACTTAACTTTATTTAACTGAAATCTGATTTGAAAACATAACTTCTAACTAGATCTATATATTTAGATGTGAAACATAATATTATCAGTATCATTAGAGATCTTTTGAGAGCTAAATTCTTAAAAATAAATCAATTTTGAAAATTAAAACTGAAGTTAATTTATCCAATCAGCTTTAATAACTTAATAAAAAATAAAATATAAATAGCTATAAATAATATCAAAATCCTGCTTACAATTTGTGTATTATTAAATATTTCGCATGTAAGTCAAGTTAAATGAAAGTGCATTAAAAAAAAGTCAAATGGAATCAATGTTCAATGTTAATAATCTGAATTACAGGCAATCTATTAACAATTATTTGATGCCTCTCTCGGAAAAGGTATTAAATTAGATGTGCTCCAATGCAGTATTTGTTTCAATGTAAAACTTTTTAACAGTTTCAGACATGAGGAAGACTCATTTTTGTAATCAGAATTAACTATTAATTTAATTAGTGAGAAAGATGTGATTTTTAACCCAAGGCTATTTTCACTCACAACCAGCGTGTATTTTATTGGCTGATATTCTAATATTTACAATATTAATTAGTGTAAAAAAAAACCAAGTTAAGAAATGTCACTCAAAATAAGTCAAGAGTAATAACTGAGTAATGACTAGACTAAAATTAAAACAAGATATTTTGGTAGTGAAACAAAAAATTGTGATAGAAAATCATGTGCCCAATTGTAAGTTAGTGCCAACGCTGCTGTATTTAAATAGATTTAGAAGAAAATTATCTGCACTAAGGATGCTAAGAACTGAAGCATTCAAGTAAAGAAAAATGGCACCAGTACTAAATAGTCCAGTATGGACCTATGTGCTAGAAGAACCATGGGTTTTAAGTTTGACATTAAATTTTAAACAATCAGTTTTCATAACTACATTTGATTTAAAGCTTCTGACTCTATGAACATTTTAAATGTAAAAATAAAAATATACAGATTAACGAGAAATATGAAATAATGGAAGTCATAGAAAAGCACAATAACATTGTTTGTTAGGTGTTTGAAAAATGCGTAGAGACATATGTATGCATTCTGATTACTTTAATAATAATTACTATATATACTATACAAATCCTCAAATTACAAAGTGATTTTGTTTTGTAAAATGCAGAGGTAGTCAAAATCACAGATCTGCATATCAACTTTTTTAAAACTGAGCAACATTTAAATACGGTATGACCTCACCACTTTGTCTTCATTTCATTGGAAAATATTCGTATAGTATACGAAAATGGAATATAATTATGCGAACCCTTAAAAAATTTTTTATATAATTTTCTAAATACAACAGATTTTTATTTATTTAAAAAATTAAAAAGGTTTAAGATACATTTGATAGAGGACTACATCATTAGCATTTTAATGGGAACTATTCACCAAATTAGAAGGAAAAAGAAATTATGAGGTTTAAAATATATTTAAATATTATTCGCTGCTGGATAATTATTCCTTATCTGATTAAATTACTGTTGGACCGCTGATGGAAAATAAATCTAAATTAACAAAGTTTCATAAATTTTAAATATGAAAAAATTAGCAAAAACGAAATATACTCTACATTCTCTGCCCAACTCTCAAATCGTTAGCAAAGAGATTCGCTAATGCATTTACTCCAAGTGCTTATAAATATTATAGTAAACGATATTTTATATACAAGTAACATAAACAATTCCCTTTTGACCTTGAAAACATGGCAAACTTAATGCCATTTGATAAATATTAAAATAACACCAAGTGTTTTGCTATAACAGGCTCTGAGGCTGCAACAATTAGCTTAGAGAAACAATATACATTTTCAACACCACAGATAGCTTGATGACAAGAAATATTTTTTGTGTAAAAAATGTTCAACTTAATAATATTTAAAAAGTACAAAAATGTATTTTCACAATAACAGATATAAATATTTTATTTAACATTAAAAACTTGAATGATTTAAATTTAGATGATCTACAAAACAAACGAACAGGTTCTACTTGTTGGAAAATTTCTCAGATAAGAACAAGAATTCATACCCAGATGAGCCAAATGTCATTAAAATTATGTACATCATTTGGTTTCATAGAGAAAAGTTTGAGAACATTGTCGAGAAACAATTTTAAGCTTTAAACCTTCATCCCTTTTGTCATGTGACATTGCAACATTCCTGAATTTCGCAACCAGCATTTGATGTAGATAATGACATGCAAATACACTTTAAACTAAAAATTAATTAAAAATACCGTATAAATTGGATTATGTTGGAATGCTTAGATTAAAGGTTAAACTTGTACCAATGACTGAGCCAGAAACACACGACACAATGAGACAGGATTTATCAAATGTCCTGTTCAATCCCACAAGCAGCAACACAAGAGGGCACTGCACAAAGCAATGATGCAACATGTCTCGGCTGAATTATCATGGCTTTTCCTTCTTTCTTCATGTACATAGACACTATTGTGGAAAAAAAAAAGAACACCGACACATGTATTATTTACTATTCAATGAAAAGTGTTGAAAAACTTTCTATCGATCACTTTAATCCTAATCAATGACATTTTGTTTTTAGGTTTCTCCTTGCTATTACCTCTTTTTAGAAAAATTATTCTTTTAGCGAGTTGACAGGCTTATCTGTTAGTTGTGTTTATCAGAACTGAAAAAGTTATGTTAAAATTATAACCCAGCACCAAGTTATAAATTACATAAAAATCTATTTGCATAATTAATTCCTGCCATTTCAAAATAATTCAAACTCACACTTGCTGTGGTTGCTGTTGATATGCTGCACCTGGCTGGCCATATCCATATGGTTGACCGTAAGCACCTTGTTGAGGCTGACCATACCCAGAAGGAGGTGGATATCCTTGTGATGGTGGATATCCTTGTGGTGGTGGATAAGCTGGTGATGTACCATATCCCTGGGGTGGTGGAGGACCATATCCATGGGGTGGTGGAGGACCATAGCCCTGGGGTGGTGCACCTCCAGGAAAGCTTGTAGGGGGATAAGCACTGTCATAAGGGGGTGGAGCAGAAGGATAAGCACTTGGATGTACGCTGCTCATGTTTACTGAAAGAAATAAACAAAGACATGAATATGAATAAGTTTAGAAAATCAGAAGATAAAAGAGGTTGTTCTTCACTTAATATCATAAATTTGTTCAAGAGACATAGCCCAGGCAGTGAACAAAAGGTTAAAATGGTATGTTAATTAGCTTAGATTAATTTCTGTTTGCGCAAAAAAATTATATTCATCACTTTAAACAAATCTAATTTATTAAACATAGTTTATTGATGTCAAATAGAAAGTCAACAGATTCATTGTAACCATAGCTATAGCTTTTCATGGTGTACTTAAGATTTCTTTTTCTCGCCCATGCTTTTATCAAATATAGAATCTAGGCCTTTAAAATAATCTTAATTGAATCCTTGACAAAAAAACTAACATTGAGTGAGTACCAGGCTAGTGCAGGGGATTCTAAACCCTGCCACATCGAAGAGGAGCTGCCACTTATTCACAGAGGGCAACGGTAAGTTTAAAAAAATTTCACAATGCCATCTTATGCCATTACACAGAGCCCATGTTATAATTTAACAAAGGTTGCTCTGAGAAAACATGGTTGCAGCAAGGGCACTGTGAATTGAAAAAGTTTGAGAATCTATGGGGTAGGGGGGTAAGGTGTACCACAAAGAAAAATAATTGGCTGTGGCTTCTGAGCCTACACTGAAGGTGGCTTTGTCCAGTCGGACCGTACATTAACGTCCCGCAATATTTTGGTCACTCTGACCACCTCCCAATGGTGTAGTGAGACACTATGCCACCTTGTGCAGATTCTGAGTTTGCCGCCGCCCCTCCCACTGAAAACATATAGTGCCTTTTGGCCTAGTAAATCCTGAAAATAAAAAAAAAACATGAAATAGTGCTGCTGTTCCTGCCATATGCGCTAACTCGCCTCGGAATGTAATAATTTTTTACATTAGCTGAACCTGCAATTAATACCATTTTTCTGTGGCCCCAAGGTTTTGAGATATATCCACTTTTCACTAAATTATCATAAGTCACTTTGATTGGTGGTGGGGGGATGGCAGAGAAAGAAATCAAGGGCACTGAAGGCCCCACAGCCAAACCGAATTGTGGGCAGGGTTTGGGGACAAACAACCCAGCTGATAGGTAATTATATGATAAATTTAAAATACAAGGATTCATTTTCGTGATTTGTGCATCAATCTACATTCTATTAATTGAGCATCAGAGAAATGCTATGAAATTTAAGTGTCCCACGACCTGGTTGCATTTATATCAATCATTTATGTTTAATTGTTAATAAATAGTAATGTTTTTTTTAATTATATGTAATTTAAACTATTATAAACAAACTATTTAATTTGTTTAAGCTTTGTCATTAGTTAACGATTTTTTAAAAGTTGCGACGTACTGGTGCCGCCTAACATCACAAAAAATAATTAATACACAATGTTAAAGGGCCATTTGGTTCCAGGCTTTATTTCTTCTAATTGATGATAGTCATCGTGCTATAGGCTATGTGTTCAATTATTTAGTCCACGGTGCTCAAGGATCAAGGGCCTGGGCATTCTACAATCTATGGACAATGCACAGAAATGTGTCCCTATGTTGTCTGTACCCACAGCCTAAAACGCCTTATTCCACCCATGCGTAGTACCAACGGAAAATTCCATTATAAGCACATGATAATTTTCAAAGTCATAATGACAGAAGTGGATTTACTTTTTTTTTTTTTTTTGCTTGCATCCGTCCGTCACAATGTCACGATGGAGTGGGCTTCGGAGGATGAAATCCACATGGCCTGGGATTATTCTTCAAGGATTATAAGCTGGTTCCCAACAGCAAATCACCTCTCTCCTTGCCGTTGTATAACCCAAGGAAACATCATTGGATGATATAGCTTGGCACCAGCGACGTCACAGTTCGCAGGAGTTGTCAGAAGGTTTCATTGTATCAATGTTATCCACTTTTCGGGACTCCATCTCCGGGTTTGATTTCAGAGTTTCCTTCTCTTAGATGAGTTGCCATCCAAGGTTAACAAGTCCCATCCACCCCGAGTGCTGGTGATGTTTTTGCTTAACTGGGCTCTGGCTGGAATTGAACTCCAGACCACCAACTTGAGATTTGCTCAGTTTAGACCACTTGGCCTCGGATTTACTATAAGACCAAACTAAACCATGTTTTTGGGAAACAAATTCCAAAGCAGGGGCAGCATAATATAAAATTATAATTTAAATATATTTATTGAACTAAAAACAAATTGTACTTACAATTATATGCATACAATCACGATGAATACATAATTTGAAGATAATTTTCTAATATTTTAATTTTATCTTTCTTAAATTAAATGGCTGTTTCATCAGTGCTAACTTCTAGAAGTTTTATTTCTATCTTTTAGAAAAAAAAATGTTAATACATTTTAACTCATTTTTGAATTTTTTCACTGAGGAGTGCTTAATCCTCTGGAGACGGAGCCTTTTCGGCGTGTATGTGCCAAAAAGACAGAGCAATTTTTATGAGCTCGAGACTCACATTGCAAAAAAATTTATAAAAAATAAACTATTCCCTTAATATGTGTAAAACTATATATATTCTTGTAGGCAATTGAATGAACTAATACAATCTTTATGAATCAAACTGACATATCAAAATTTATGCAAATGAGCTACCCTTATTTGCATAATTTATGCGTGTATTTTTTTTGTTACACCTAGAATAAACATGACTTACTTGTATCAATTGTGTGAATTTTTTGATGGGTGAAGCCTGAATAAGTCCTAATACTTATTTTTTTGGAGAAAAAGGCCCATGAAAGCCCTTCAGACACCTCTGGCACATGGTTCTACTCCTTTCCCACCCCCTATTTTTCAGTTGTTACAGACACACTGTAACAGGCCCCCAATAATGACCTAGGGACCTTCTCTTAAGCTGGATGTTACTGACAAATGTGTCTGCATATCAATTGGTCTCCCTCATTAACACTTGAGTAATATTTAGTGTAAAAAATAGCATAAAATACTCAAATGGGGTGCTTATGCCTTATTTATAGGACTTATGTTGACTAAAAATTCAGAGGGGTCATCTCTGTCCATTTGAGGACCCCTAATACTAGTAATACTAAACCAAGAGTTCACAACATTAGCATTACCCTCAATTTGAAAGTCTTCATTAATTCCCTGGTTGTTTTCATCAGTTTCAGTGTCAAATTCACTGCTAGAACATCAAAATCACTAAGCACAGTTTGATCAGAGTCACTGTCAGACATGTTCGAAATTCACGATGTAACTACACACACACACAAAAATTCCTGCAAACAAATAAATTGAGTTCACATTCAACGAACGCCGGCATTACAATGCCGGGATGTGCAGGAATACGTATGAATAATTTTGATTCGCTGGTACAACGCCAAGCCAGCCAATCATGAGACTCGATCTATCAGGCCGACGGCTCGGACTTGACGTCTTTCTCGCTAGTGTACCTCGGGCCGATAGATCGGCCCTTACGTCTCCAGAGGGTTAATTAAATTTTTTTTTATGTTGTGTTAGTGTAGGCCTATGCCTATATTATTCCAGCTGCTAAATTGGCCTGCATGGATCTTATTTCATGTCACCCCATGCCCATGTCATCAAAGAAAATACCTGTAGTTGTAGCTCTCAAATACTGTCCTTTGATACTGTCGCCCTAGTTGACCGCTTGTTTAGCTTTAGTTTACTCTGCTTGTTTAGCTTTACTTCGCTTCTTTATTTCCTCCCCATATTTCTATTTATAATGTATAAGTGGGTCAGAATATTTAGGCTAAATACACTGTAGTCTGTACTGTATAGAATTGAGCTAACATTTTCAGAGCTCCAGTATCTCATAATATGTGTGTAGTAATTGATGGTAAAATAAAATTATAATTATGGCTTGCTGCCTTGTGTCTTTTAAATGTTACCCAGGCCACTCCTTATAATCATGTAGAGGGTAGACATTCTAAGACATAGAGACAGAGGAAAAAAAGTGCCAGCAACCATCTTCCTACTTACACTGGCCTCTCCACCCCATCATCACAAGTTTGTAAAAGAATTAGACACTTATTAAAATGTATGTGTCACACATCATCACAAATTGATTGAAATTGGCATTTGCATTGGTCATTGGTGACCACCACCTAACTAGTAGTAGTAGTAATAGACGCATGATTCGTGATGTCATTAATTAAAATGCGGTTTATTCTAGTAAATTTAACAACTTACCACTTATAAATGCAAACAAAATATATAAGAAAATTTAGAAAACGCTATTTTGGTTTGACAGCTTTCACTTCTGTCAGGACTGATGATAAGGTAATGATCAATGTGTATACACTTGTGTCAAGAACTTGTTTACGTCCTGTGGTGTCATGTGATCACTACATTGCTGACGCAGTTCGCAAAAATGGTTATATTTAACTATTTAAATGACGCATCGACATGTGAGACTTCCTCAACTACAAAAATTAAATTTTAAAAAGAGTATAATTTAATTTTAAAAAGTTATATTTTAAAAAACCCTACGATATGATTTACTGAATTGCTGACACAGCTCCAAACATTACTTACTTTACATTATGAAATAAAAGATATAAATTATGATGAAAGTAAAAAAAAAAAAAAAAAAAAGAAAAAAAAAATAAAACAAAAAAAAAAAACAAAAAAAAAAAAGGGGGGGGGGGGCGAAATTGCGCGGATGAATACAAGACGTTTATGGAATACATATATTGCAACGGTACATTCGTGGGCATGAAGCTGCGTATACGTATGTGTGCACATTAAATTCCCTTAACGTTACGCTTACCGAGGCCGTAAAAGTAGCAAAATTAATTAACAAATACTCAAAAGTAAATTTGAAAAATTTTGGCGGAGCGTAAACAGACATTGAAAAAATGGAATTATTTATTGATTAGCGACTACTTGAAATTTATATTGTGATAATTTATCTCAAAATTGTAATTTTAACAACAACAACAACCCCCCCCCCCCCCGTAAAATACAGGGGGGAAGAGAAAAAAAAACAAAAAAANCGAGCGTAGCGATATTTCAATGATTCAGCTCATTGTAATATGTGAAAGGCACAAGCTGCTATTCCTTTTAAAAATGTTATAAAAATGATAAAGTAGTCGTTCTTTAAAATTTGTTGTACACAACGGGGGGGGGGGGGGGCGACTTTTCTCCGGGGGGGGGATGGGGCGTGCCCCTCCGAAGAGATGCCTCAAAGAAACACTATACGTCCGCACCAAATGCACACAAAAGAAAACATTTTAAAACTTGCCTGGTGCCATTACATGACAACGCCCTACTAAAATGGCACCACTAACCGTCAATACCCAACGCAAACAGCACGAATACCCGTCACTACCCACGCTATATAGAGAGCCAATACACCTAAGCATGGGTGGATATATGGAGGGCCATCTGGAATTATTATTTTACATCATGCACCTGTTCTCGTATTTTACACGCAAAATGTGGTTGCGTTGACCCAACTGGTTTCCAATATTTTTTGAAAGCACCTAGCATTAAGCTTTATTGAAAATGCTTGCACCAAACAAACAGGAACCGAAAATTTTCCCTTAAAAAGATGTTTGAAAGCGCACCGTTCAGATATAAAGGTTGTTACAAATAACGTAACTTGAATGTCCGTTGAAGGCATTGAAAAATAGTTGTTGTTTTTTTTTACTCTGTACCTCTGTATTTTACTTTTTGTTATTGTTGTTGTTGTTAAAATTACAACGTTTGAGATAAGGGAAATATGACCAAACTTTCCAGGAACCATCTGTAGGTCAACTTTGGTTGCGATCATTTGTTTGGTTTTCTTGTGATGACATTAATTTAAGACGTCACACTTTAAAAAAAAAAAAAAAAAATAGATGTCACGGGTTTTCATGGCTGTCTGGTGAGCCTAGTGGTTCCAAAAAATATATCTCGCTTCGCACTGGGTCGCAGCATTGCTCTCGGACATGGCCATGAGAATAGATTGGGGTGAAAGGGGTGCTCATCCTGACCGCCAACTATAGGGGTGCTAAAATAGTCTTAAGATAGAACCAGTGGAGTATCTAGGAGGTGCGGATCGCACCGGATGACACCATATATGGTGGGTGACACCAAACTGAAAAATTGTATACTTACATCACACACACTGCTCGGTCTAACCGAATTTCATAAAAGAATAACCGATTACACGTAAATTGTCCACACACACGTAACCAACCCCAATGCTCGCTTTATTAAAAATGCAAGGTTGATGCGTCAGAAATGAGGTGACCCTATGATTAGGTCAGAAATACAACGTTTTGACCAGGATTCAACGCCGATTGGAGTGTTTGGTAACTTTCGTAAGTGACAGAAAGCTATATACATCTAAATTTTGAGAAATGCAGCTTTCCGTTGATACCAAATACGATGTGGTCGGGCGATTCTAAGTACACTTGAATTGAATCGGTAAAAAATAAAAACATTGTTATACTGTGGACTTATTTAAAAATGAAGAAATCCATCGTCGAAGTCGGAAAGTTGGGGGGTGGTGGGTGACACCATGAGTTTACCACATCGGGTGACACAAACTCTAGCTACGCCCCTGCATAGAACCTTAATAGCTAATTGATGTAGTCTAGAAAGACAAGAACGTCAAAAGTAGTATATTTTCTGATCTGCCCCGCGCGGACATTTTCTATTTAATTTATTGAGGGGCGCAATTTCAGGATTCGCCAAGGCTGCCGGTTTTCCACGGTGCGGTCATGCTCTGGGTTGCCGCGGCTCCCTCACAGGGGTGCCGCAAAAAATTACACGTGACAACAGAACCTCATTTCAGCACCCATAACTGTGTGCAGTTCCTAGCTCTAGCTTAGTGATGTACGAAGTGTTTTATGATTTTTTGGCCAAGCCTTTACGATTATTTTCTTTCAACGTATCCGCTATTTAGAAACTCACTTGTTAGAGTTTAAATCAGGGCGCCAGGTGAAAACCTAACTTTGGCAAGGGCGCCGGGGGTCTAAAAAAATGACGAGCGTTTGTCGAAGCCGAACAAAATACGTCACACGCACGTGGAACATACGGTGGACTAATTATTGATTGATTGATTGGTTTGATATTTAATATAGCGCTGATATCCATGTCATTTTTAGCATGCTCACTGCGCTCTGGTCCTCCGAAATCTATTAACAAAAAAGTTTTTAAATTGTTTCTTAAATGATTTTTTATCATTTACAATTCCCCTCAAAGATTGAGGCAAACTGTTCCATAATAAATGTTTAAAATCCCCAGCATGTACAGGGGTTACATGGCCCCTGAGGCACATCTTCTGCAAAGTGGACATTGAATTTTATTCTATGCGTCAGTCATTCGGTTTTTAAAAAGCCATCCCTTTCGGTGAGCCCCCCCTCCCCTCCCCCCCATCCTGACGATTTTTTGACATCAGTCCGCCCCCCCCCCTTTTTTTTTTCCAAACATTATTCTCCATATTTTTATCAATATTAAAATGAACTTGAACCACAACTATAGTTATCAGCGGTTCGTAGGAGGTTCGTAGGAGGTTCGTAGGAGGTTCGTACCCTTGTTATAACGCGAACCAGCCGTTAATCACGTATTGGTAGCTGAAAATAAGGAGACACAATGTATCATTTATCAGCCTTACTAACTGACAAGCTTATAATGTATCATTTATCAGCCTTACTAACTGACCAGCTTATAATGTATCATTTATCAGCCTTAATAACTGACCAGCTTATAATGTATCATTTATCAGCCTTACTAACTGACCAGCTTAAAATGTATCATTTATCAGCCTTACTAACTGACCAGCTTATAATGTATCATTTATCAGCCTTAATAACTGACCAGCTTATAATGTATCATTTATCAGTCTTAATAACTGACCAGCTTTTAATGTATCATTTATCAGCCTTAATAACTGACCAGCTTATAATGTATCATTTATCAGCCTTACTAACTGACCAGCTTATAATGTATCATTTATCAGCCGTACTAACTGACCAGCTTTTAATGTATCATTTATCAGCCTTACTAACTGACCAGCTTATAATGTATCATTTATCAGCCTTACTAACTGACCAGCTTATAATGTATCATTTATCAGCCGTACTAACTGACCAGCTTATAATGTATCATTTATCAGCCTTACTAACTGACCAGCTTATAATGTATCATTTATCAGCCTTAATAACTGACCAACTTATAATGTATCATTTATCAGCCTTACTAACTGACTAGCTTATAATGTATCATTTATCAGCTTTACTAACTGACCAGCTTATAATGTATCATTTATCAGCCTTACTAACTGACCAACTTATAATGTATCATTTGTCAGCCTTACCAACTGACCAGCTTATAATGTATCATTTATCAGCCTTATTAACTGACCAGCTTATAATGTATCATTTATCAGCCTTACTAACTGACCAGCTTATAATGTATCATTTATCAGCCTTACTAACTGACCAGCTTATATTTTACAAGTCAACTCCGATAGGTCGACACATTCTGTTCCCCCTGTAGAAGATTACTACATGTTCTATAATTGTCAAATATTTAACCTGGGAGGTTTTTATACGACAATGTTAGCATCGCTGGTAGACTTTAATATTTAGAAAAAAAATATTTATTTAAAAAAAACATCAGTAAGTCCAAAAACTAAGATGGCGAGCGCTAATCAAAATACAGGAAATAGTAAGCTGCTGCTGTGCCCGCAAATGCTGCTGTTCCAGCAACTGCTGTCAGGTATCGCACCACACCAACTCATTTTTCACCTTAAAACAAACAAAAAAATATGTTAATGACTGAAGTATTGTAGCAGCTGTCTGTAAAATTGTGAGATTGTTGACCCAGTGTTTATTTGCAGATGATGTGATGCTCGTGGTTAAGTCTAGACAAAAAATAGTACGTCAAGAACACGGAAGCCTTTATTGATACGGTGTTGTTTTATGTTTCCTTCAACCTTGTACAGCAGTGGCGACGGAAAGAAGGGGGTGGGCTTATGTGGGAAGCTGGAGTGATAGAGGCCTATCTGACAGCTGGAGTAATATAGGCTTTTGTGACAGCTGGAATAATAAAGATTTATGTGACAGCTGGAATAATATAGAGCTATCTCTAATAAACTGGTGTCATATTTTTACAGGTCAATACAAAGTCAGTACTGTTGACTACAAAACAAAGGTCTATATATATTTTTAAAGTGATTTTTTTCTTATTTGAAAATAATTGTCTTGTAGTATCGGAATTTAATATGAATTGAGTGATTCTACCTACCTTGGGTTTGGGTTGGGTGTCAGTAGTCATAAGAGTGGTTTGTAGTATAATGATTTGAATGGTTATCAACCTTGGGTTTGGTGTTTGGGTTTCTATTTATAGAAGGTTGCCTA